TGTGAGGATACGTTCATGTTGTGTGTGAGGATGTGTTTATGGTGTTTATGAGGATGTGTTTGTGGGGTTTGTGAGGATGTGTTTGTGTTGTGTGTGAGGGTGTGCTTATGGTGTTTATGGTGTTTATGAGGATGTGTGTGTGGGGTTGTGCTTGTGCTGTTTGTGAGGGTGTTTGTGGTGTTTGTGAGGGTGTCATTGTGGGGTTTGTGGGGTTGTGTTTGTGTTGTGTGTGAATGTGCTTATGGTGTTTATGAGGATGTGTTTGTGGTGTTTGTGGGGATCTGTTTATGAGGATTGTATATGAGGACTGTTTATGAGGATTGTTTAGGAGGATTGTTTATGAGGATTGTATATGAGGACTGTTTATGAGGATTGTTTAGGAGGATTGTTTATGAGGACTGTTTATGAGGATTGTTTATGAGGATTGTTTATGAGGATTGTTTAGGAGGATTGTTTAGGAGGACGCGTTTCTGAGCCGATTGCGCGGAAGGAGGAGAGGAGCTGTGGATTTTGAGGGAAGGGAGGGAGTGCAGCTCCAGGCCGGGCTCCTGGTGCCCAGGGCACCGAGCCGAGGCACCCCTGGGTGCGCCTGACCCAGCCCAGCGCGTCCCACCCAGGCACGGTTCAGTTCTCAAGGGCAAATCAGGAAAATTCACCCCACCGAACGGAAGTGGAGGTTAAATAAGGAAAAGAGGGTGGGTTTTTAAGAGTTAAAAAAAATATAAATTATTGGGGCTAAATAAGGGGGTGGGGTTAAACAACAGAATTGTGGGGATTCAATTAGGAAAATAGGATGGGTTTTTAAGAGCTAAAAAAAAAAGAATTGTGGGGATTAAATTAGGAAAATAGGATGGGTTTTTAAGAGCTAAAAAAAAAAGAATTGTGGAGATTAAATTAGGAAAACAGGGTGAGTTTTTAAGAGGAAAAAAAAAAAAGAATTGTGGAGATTAAATTAGGAAAACAGGGTGAGTTTTTAAGAGAAAAAAAAAATAATTGTGGAGATTAAATTAGGAAAATGGGGTGGGTTTATAAGAGCTGAAAAAAAAAAGAATTGTGCAGATTAAATTAGGAAAACAGGGTGGATTTTTAAGAGCTAAAAACCAGAATTGTGGGGATTAAATTAGAAAAACAGGGTGGGTTTTTAGGAGGTAAAAAACAGAATTTTGGGGATTAAATTAGGAAAACAGGCTGGGTTTATAAGAGCTGAAAAACAGAATTGTGGGGACTATATTAGGAAAACAAGGTGGGGTTTTAAGAGCTAAAAAACAGAATTGTGAAGATTAAATTAGGAAAACAGGGTGAGTTTTTAAGAGCTAAAAACCAGAATTGTAGGGATTAAATTAGGAAAACAGGGTGAGTTTTTAATAGCTAAAAAACAGAATTGTGGAGATTAAATTAGGAAAATGGGGTGGGTTTATAAGAGCTGAAAAAAAAAGAATTGTGGGAATTAAATTAGGAAAACAGGGTGGGGTTTTAAGAGCTAAAAACCAGAATTGTAGGGATTTAATTAGGAAAACAGGGTGGGTTTATAAGAGCTGAAAAAAAAAGAATTGTGGGGACTAAATAAGGAAAGAGGGTGGGGTTTTATGAGTACTAAAAATGATTGTTGGAGCTAAATAAGGAGACAGGAGAAGTTTAAGAATTCAAATATAATTGGTCGGACTAAATAAGGAAAATAGGGTGGATTTTGTGAGTTTGGAACAAAAAGTACTTTTGGGACTAAATAAACAGGGTGAGATTTTAAGAGTTAAAAAAAGGATTTTTGGGACTAATTAAGGAAAACAGGGTGTGTTTTTATAAGTTAAAAAAAAAAAAAGCAACCACACTCCAAAAGGTGGGATGCAATTACTAAAATTGTATAATTAAATATCAAGGGAATAAGAACAAAACAAGTAATAAGTATGAAGGGAAAAAATTCTGAGAGGAACCAGGATATTATTTTTTGGGTAAGACAATTATAAGGAAACAAGAATAATCGTTTGTTGGTTAAAAAGTGTTTTAAAATCGATTAAAAGGGATTTTTTTTGGGGGGGTTTGGAGTTCAAAGATACCGAGCTAAAGTTTTCTTGATTGCGTTTGACCCTCTCAATCTCGGGGGTGACAGGGGTGGGGGTTCCTGTCCCCAGCTCCTCCTTGTACAAC